CTTTTAATCAAATAAGCTGTATGGATTTCGAAAAAATATGGTTTTAATAAAATGAAATTCATTCTGAAAAGTGTCAGAAATAGATGTAAAACTTTTAACTGAAAACGTTTGACATCACAATACATGTTAACACACTACGGTGTTTCATTTAGTAAGTCTCAGGTGGAGTAGTTGATTTATATACATACAAATTTTACCTTAGAGGTAACAACTATTGGTTCTACCCTTTACATTAAAGCAAATGGTTAGGGCTTTTTTCTACATATAAAAATAATATTTGCTCTCACTAGATAAAAATTTATGCATCAACCATCTAGCACTTTCTACAGAACACGATGTACGAGGAAGCAAGTGGTATGAAGTATCACTACTATGTCTCTTGCAGTACGTTGTAATTTTTTAGTAGTACTAAGTTCATTGCTAAATGCATTAGCGTCAAAGATGTAGTTTATACGTGTAGAATATCTACATAAATACATCATTTTTTATCGTAACCCATATAGTAAGAACTTGGTACTGCTACAGAATTGTGAACTGGCAGAGATGGTACTTTGTTTTGTGACATTAAAGTACAGAGTCAAAACTGAACGTTATCTGTCATACCCAGAAGTAGATAGTGAAAGTCTGCTAATATTGCTAATACTTTTCTATTTATGCCACAAATATTGCAACATGTACAATCAAGATAAGGAATCGAAATCAAAATTTTTTTAAGGCACTTAATTTTATAGTACTATAACCATTTTCAGAATCAAATAGTTTTCGTTTATATTTCGTAATAAATGGCCGAAGAAAATTGTAAGAGCTTTGGTTATTAGAAAAAAAGGATGTTTTTTTAAAATTATGCTTCTATTGGCGCGTTCTGCCTTACTGGGTAAATCAACGATTTCAGATTGGTGACCTTGAAAAAAGTGTAACGAAAGTTGATTTGGCTTGATTCTCCCCCTTCGGCCCGCCCCTCGCGACGTACTTCCGGTTCCCTATACAGGACAAAACACAACACCAGAGCACCGCACTCACTACAGTATACATTTTAAATTTATTTCTTTTTCTTTTAACCAACTTGATAAAAAAAAAAAGTTTTCGAAGAGATTTGAACCCCCGTCCACTTGCACACTGGGCAAGCCCTCCACACCCACTTAGCTATAAGCGTGCCCGACATAGAAAGACTGATTACTTCATTTTGTTTTACGGTTTGTAATTTATTTTCAATTTAAATTCTCATTTATTGTAAATTTATTTGTTTAGTTTCATTTCACATTAAATAAACAAGTTATTTAATCANAAAAAATAACTCTGGTGATTTCACTTAAAAACAAAGCCTTACGTTTTCCATAAAAAAAAGTTTGTAAAAGTTAGAAGTAAATATTTAAATACATTTATTAACAGGAAAAAATGAGTCCCTCCGTGCAAGAGCCATTCTACGATCATTAGTACCACTGTATATATACAGTAATTAATTTTTATTGCTTTTTCTTCTTTCACAAGTTTTCCTTTGTCATTGAGAACAAAATTCAGAGTGGTGGGAGGAGTGCAAGTGTATGCTGCAAAGCTGGAAATTATTTTTCTCACAGGGATCAAGTTACATACATGCGCTTACGCAGAATTGGCTCCTTTTTTTGTGTTAATAAAAAAAAAAAAACCTATAGATCTATTTAAGAATAAAGCAGGTTTATTTAATAGAAATTTTTCATATAATAAAAAAAATGACTGACTTATACAGATCTCATAAATCCAATTCAAAGGGGTTTTTCTATAAGGTTACATGCTAAATTAAAAATTCTTTAAATGAAACATGTGAAAAAGGGTGCAGTTAAACGGTCTGCTTTTCTGTAAAGGTATTTCTTATTTTCTTAAAAAGTTTTTTTGAAACAATCAGAAGATTTAATGAAGAGCACAGTCTTGTACTGACCAGCTGCCATTTTGTTTATATGGTATTGTGCCATAAAGTATTGTTTATAATTGTTTTGTTTTTAGATATTAAAATCTTTCTTGAAACTACATCCAACTTACGTAGGTATACTCATTTCAACGATAATTGCACCAACTTTGTACAGAATATCGCTTCATATGAGGTACACTCAAATTTATAATTTTATTATTTGCCATATAATTTTATAGAAGTATACCTTTTTACTTGGGTACCCAAGCACCCACTATCCACTGGTTTATATGTAGACTTGTAGCATGCGTTACAAATAGCTACAAAGCAATTATTATATGAATGATGTTATTTAATGATAAATAGCTAATAAATGATGTCAAAGACAGTTTCATAAGCCTTTTATTATGTACATTATACAGAGGTCAGAAACACACTTTATTTATTTGTCCATTCACCACCTAACAATAAATTCATAAAATTCATTAGATATGATAATCGTGATAAGCCAATTGAATACATATCATAAGAATCTCATAAGATCAATACAAAAAATCTACAGAACGTTTAGCATGGAGAATCTTTACGTGCTTGAATGCTAGTGTGGTGTTTAAACTTTGCTTGAACTATAATTACAGAATGTTCTTTAAAAATAAGAGTTATACGTATAATAAAATAAGCAAAAAAGATTAAAAAATGTGTAATTGAGTAATTTTCAGTTAAAATAAGATCGAAAATAGAAATAACCAAGTCATTTAGCTGATTATTTTCTTATATTATACTGTACTCATTTTGAATTAATATGATCAGGCATGGCCATTTATTTCTACTAATGTCATTTACTTATGTTTACACTATGATTTCAGTATAAGCCTATTTTTTTTCTTTTGTACATCATTTACAGTTTTTAATTTTTGGGTAACATATTAAACGCAGTGATGGCAACATATTTAAAACTACTTTTACAACTATTTAACTAACATTGAGACAGTTGAATACTTTTATGTCTAGTCACGCTATAATTGTTCAAATATTTTACTTGAAAATAACTACATTCACATACAAGACAGTTAAATATGTAGGCCTGTTTTATAGTCAGAGGTTATGATTTCATTTTTATTTTATCCAAATTTTTTTTGAATGTAAACTTAAACATTCTGATATGTAGAAGTTGTAGGAGACGATTATAATTTGTTTGTGCTAATGAATGCTACAGCACTTCATTTGTATGTTTTCTTAGTTTTACGTTATATTTTTTTTTAAGATTTATGGTATGGATTTTTTATTCATTGAACTTTGTCTGATTAATAATACTACTTTCCCATTTTTTATACAAAGTGTCATTGGTCTTACACAGTTTTATTATGTCATTTGTTATCCAAGGCTTTCTGTTTCATTAACTCTATGACTTTCAATAATTTAATTGTCAACGCATTTTCCAACTTCAGTAATTATTTTTCTTAAAGACTAATCAATATCATTTTTAGAAATAGTATCACAAATATCAAATCATTTCACACTTTTTGCAATTTTTTTTCATTTGAATTAGTTAAATTTAGGTTTAGTCTATTTTTTATCTAGTTTTAAGTCAAAATTGTAAATTAGTGGTCCATTATGCTACTCGTGAGCTTATGTGTCTTGGAATTGAGACTACATTTAACATAAATATGATAAATACACGACCATAAATTATCACAGCTTTCTCTTGGCCTAGTTGTACTAAGTACTTCAGAACCATAACTTTTTCTAATGGATTGAACTGATATTTATTAGTAAGTGTATTTTGACGATTGTATCAATATTTATATCTCCTAACATAATATATGACTTCTTTCGATACTATTGTTTTTAAGGAGTGAGTCCAGGTCATGTATAAATTCAGCGTCTCTGTCATCAAAACATGTGTACACTCCAGTCACCTTTATTCTGTGTTGACCCCTTCAGGCTGTTATTGACAAAGCTTTCAGCTTATTTGCAGTTCACATTTTGCTATAATGCTTGATCTTACTACTTTCATAGATAATCGCACCGTCAGTCTTATTTGTATAACTGTCATTTTTGTACACCTTTTGTTTTTGTGATTGTCTGTATATATAAAGAAACTATAAAACAGGTACCCAACCATGCTTCTGTACAAATTATAATATCCGGTTTTATTGTAAAATCATTAATATAGACTTCAAGTTTAAGTTTTTTTGAACTAATACTTCTGATATTAAGTAAAAGTATTTAAAGTCCGTTACAAGTTATCGTTTTAGAGTATTCTGCTACATTTTTGCATGTTTTTTTTTTTAAAGCAATTTCTTAGTAGTCATTAGCCATTATTAAATATTTTGTGAATAAATTTGGATTTAGTTCTATTGTATCATTAGTTTCGTTTATGCTTCTTTCAAGTAACCTCTTAAATCTAGCATATTCCTTTACTTTGCTAGTTTTATGATTTTTATCTAGTGAAAGTCCAAATGCAATACTTGCCTCACTGCATAGAGTACACTTAATTTTATTACTGTCCGTGATTTTACATGCAATTATTTCATGATTAGTAGCACATACTGCACATTTGGCTTGATTTTGGCACCTAGTTTTACAATAAAGTATTCACAGCATTTTAAATAACATGATAAATTGCATTCATTTTAAATTCTACATTTTTGGAAACCTATGTACACAAAATCTTTATCAGTACTCTTTACTTTTATGATAACATTTTCTGATCCCCCTACATTTGGTGTGAGCGTATGTGAAATTTTTATATTTTCTCTTTTTCAAATATTTTTCACATACAGTTAACGATATATTTCTTCATTTTTTATACCATCATTTTTATCAACTCCTATGATCTTTATTAACGGGCTTTTTAATTTTTTAATTTACTTTTGTATTCTAAATGATGTATAACTCATTCTTTAAGAGATGAATACTTTGATTCATTTCACATTGTTGTACAACCCTTTCCTTGGTCACTTTTTTCAGCATGTTTATTTTTACATTATTTTTCTGTATATAATTTTACTTGGTTCAAAATTTTATGTTTCTTCTTGTCCTAGGTCCTTTTGATAATTTTTAAGTTTATGTACTAGCTTGCCTACAATATTCTTTTCTTCCTGATCAACATAACATGTTTTGCCAGTTTGGAGGTTAATTCATGATCATTACCGCATATCACAAGTATTTTACCAACTCCTTGTTTTTTTTCTGCACAACTAGTATAGTAAATCGCACTACATAAAATGCATGTGTACACGCTTGATTTTAGTTTTTTCTCTATAGCACGTAAAAGAAGCAGGAGCAGGTAGAAGGCCCAGTTCTGCATCCTCCACTATCTTACCAAAAACCTTTTTTTGTTCAAACAAAACACAATTTTTTTTTCAATCATGTTTCTTAGCACGTTTAAATAAGGAAGATCTAGCAAATACGCTATTTCTATGGAACTTCATTTTGATCAATTTTTTAAATAAATTCCTTCAAATGAAAGTGGTAAACATTTTTCAGGCGTTAGTGCACATTGAGAAAATCGTAAGATTAAATTTCTGTGTGTAATACGTCTTTTATTTATTGAAAATAATAATTTGTTGCATTATAGAAATTTAAGTTATTATATACGATAAAATTAATAACTCTGGTGATTTCACTTAAAAACAAAGCCTTACGTTTTCCATAAAAAAAAGTTTGTAAAAGTTAGAAGTAAATATTTAAATACATTTATTAACAGGAAAAAATGAGTCCCTCCGTGCAAGAGCCATTCTACGATCATTAGTACCACTAGATGATTTACAAGGTGTTTTATCACTTCGTTTTACTTTGATGAATCCAGCGGCTGGTGAACCAAGGCCAAAAAGTGACATGCCATCAGGTTTAATTCCAGGTCATAAGCAAAGTATAGTGCTCTTTCTAGAGCGCGTATATGGCATAGACACACAAGATTTGTTTTTCAAATTGTTGGAAGAAGCATTTCTCCCAGATTTAAGAGCTGCTACAATGTTAGATAGAGTAAGTATCATCTTGTAGTGTTTTAATCCCAATAAAATTTCATTTAATAATTCGCATTTTACAACTTTTTATGTCTAATGACAGAATGATGGACATGAATCTGACATGGCGTTGGCTATGAACCGTTACATTGGAAACAGCATTTTACCATTACTCATAAAACACTCTAAATTTTATAGCGAAGCTGATAATTACGCAAGCTTATTAGATGCAACGTTACATACAGTCTATCGTCTTAGTAAGAACCGAATGCTTACCAAAGGCCAGCGAGAAGCAGTTTCGGACTTTCTGGTAGCTTTGACAAGGTAATAAAAAGGTCCCTAAGAATAAAGTAATTTATTGTGATACCATTTCTTATTATGATTCCAGTCAAATGCAACCAAGTATGTTATTAAAACTTCTCCGAAAGCTGACTGTGGATGTTTCAAAGTTATCTGAATATACAACTGTGGCACTAAGGGTAGTCTCTATAAATTTCTTATGTAGGAAGATATTTTAATTAACTTTTGTTATTGGAACATATTTTTTACAGCTTCTTACTTTGCATTACGACCGATGTGGGAAGTATTATGGCTCAACTAGTAGCCAAAGCCTTTATGGATCATCAAGTGACGAAGAAAAACGTTTGACTATGGTTTTATTTAGTAATATTTTTGATTCTTTGTCAAAAATGGACTACGACCCAGAGCTTTTTGGAAAAGCTTTGCCATGTTTAACTGCGATTGGTTGCGCACTACCTCCAGATTATACTTTATCGAAAAACTATGATGATGAATGGTATGGAAGTAAATCTGCTTCTACACAATCACCTGATGGACCTTATAATCCTCAGCCAATAAACACTTTAAAGTAGGTTTTTATTGGAATAATATAAATTAAACAATAATTTATGTATGGTATTAAACTTTTTTAAAAATAAACGTATCTTTTTGACACAGCGTTGCTCTTACAAATGACTTAAATCAAATAGTACAAAAATTTTCTGAACACTATCACGATGCTTGGGCCAGCCGAAAATTAGAAAATGGTTGGACTTATGGCGAGCAGTGGTCAGATATTAATAAAACTCACCCAAGGTTAAAGCCATATAGCATGGTAAGTGATTATGAAAGAGAACGATATAAAGAACCCGTGAGAGAAAGTTTAAAAGCTTTGCTAGCTATTGGTTGGAGTGTTGAACATGCTGAGATCGATGTTAACATACCAACTCGCAACTCTTTGAGAAGATCATCTAAAAGCCAGGTAAATAATAATCAGTTTTATTGAATATTTAGAACCTAAAATTTTATTAACATTACTACAAATGAATTTTTAAAGGTCGATGCTGTAAATGCTTTTGACTATAATCCGCATCCTGTTGATATGACTAACTTAACATTGAGTAGAGAAATGCAAAATATGGCAGAAAGATTAGCAGATAATGCTCATGATATATGGGCAAAGAAAAAAAAAGAAGAGTTACTAACGAATGGTAAGGTTGATATTTTATTAATAACCTAAATGCCAACCAAACCATGGCTTAAACCTTTGTTTAACAGGCTGAGCCTATTCAAAACTGTAGATGTTTGTAGTGACTCAATTACGTGGCGATATATACCATACGCGTTTTTTCGAATCAAAAAACTGCTAGAACAATCTCATAAATGCTCACGATAGACGAGGCAAGACCAGTAGTGTTTTAGTAGAAAGGTAATTTTGGCCGTATAACCTTTCGCATTTTAGCGCAATTTACAATGATAATAGTACATACGCAAAAAGAAGAATTTAACAGCAGTGATATATTTAATATATTAAATAGGCAAAAATTCTAAGACTGTCATATGTGAATAGGTTCTGCTCAGAAAGCTTATAATTATTTCCCTTCTACCAGACTCATGTCGTACCAAAGTACTCTCAATAGAAAGTATCTACTATGTTTACAAAAATACATTATTCTCAAAGTGACTAATAGTTTTCTCAAGAAACTTCACATACTAAACAAGCACTAGTTTTACTCCAAACTAGTAATGGTTTTTATTTTTCTCAAAAGTAGCGTATATGATAAGGCTTGAAAGGAGGGTACGGTCAATTATTTCCTTGAGCTAAGCTTAACATGTATACAAAGACATGGTGCCTATCAGTGGTACTCTATTATAATTAATAAACCATTCTAGTTAGGACTAGATTTTTATGGTGACTAATAATCTTTTTAAAACCCTTTTTAGTTGGTTTGCATCTCTTACGTACATTCGTAGCACACACAACAGTATCAACACTTGAATACCCACCCATAAATTTGAAATTTATATAAATGTATTAAATGTATATATTAAAATAAATTTTAATTTAAAAAATACACTTACATACGCTGTGTAGTACGGTATCATACAAATGTATAGTCTTATGATTTCATTTAAACAGGCCCGTCCAGCTTAAAACAGACTAACGATAGCGTGTGTCGTATTAATCATGTAAACATTTTATTTTTTACTCCTGTTTTAACGGAGACTTTCGTTTTTTATAAAATCTAAATTTTGAGTTACAATAGTACCTTTATGTTAAAGTCACGTTTGCGACATTGAGAGCAACTCAATTTAAAAAAATGAGCCTATTAATAAAAAGAAAGGGGAATGATACTTTTTTATGGTTAGGATATAATAATAATACTCAAGATAAATTATAAATGATTATACTGTAAGTATAAAATTGTAAGAGTCATTTTAAAGTACAGTAAGGTATCATATTGATGGTACTAAATAGTTGAGCAGAATTTCTCTAATCCTTTGAGGAAAAATGTAAATCATTCATCCTCTCTTCATGTTATATCTTGAGCCGTAAAATAATTTTTCTCGTATTTGAGAGATGATTCGGAAATCTGTGCCACTTGCTGGAAAAAAGTCACAGAGGTAGTGACTTTTAAATGACAAAATTGGACTGAGAAAATTTATCGCATTGTGCCTCAAAATTTGTGTTATAGCTGGTGCAAGAGGTAACTATACAGTGTATGTGTACACCTATTATGAAATTTAATCTGATACCATCCGATCTAAATATTTCTAAAACTACATCTAGAAAAAGAAATGACTACAAAGAGTGTATCACTTCGATAGTTCGTAAAAATCCTACGTCAAAGTGATACCTAAGCTTACATAAAATTGGTATCGATTAAGTAAAATATCAATTAGGTACACAATTAGGCGTACAAAGGATGGACCTTCTTTCAAAACTTAAATTAAATCTAATGATGCCTTTATTCAAACTTTTCTTACGTTGCTCTTTAAATAAAAAACACATTTATTTATAAGTAAACAACAGTCAACGCAATTTTTTTAATTTCAAAGCTTATTAATTGTCAGCTATTGTCATTGTGGTGAATTCTTGTGAGGATTATGCTTTTATGATAATTTGTAACTATAAGGAAAGTGACGTATTTTACTGACAGAAGCTGAGCACTTTAAAAACCACTTCAATTTTGAAAACATACGCAGATCGTTAGATGATTTAAGAGTTTTTATAGATTGAAACTTGAATGAAGTTAACCAAGGGAAGAATGTAAGGACCTAGCTGAAAGTGTAAACAGTTATGCTAAACGTGTTAGTTCAAGAAGGATCTACAGTAATCAAATTTTACATCAACAGCGCTTCATCTGTAGGCACAACATTTTTTAAAGAGTATCGGTTTCAACATACTACCGAAAAGTACCAGTGTAACCAGAAAAAATTAAATAAAAGATTCAAATATGCTAGCAAAGTCAATGTTTTCTTATTATTCTAAATTATGTATATTTCAAAATTATGTGTCTTGTAAATTCTTGCGCTACTGCGTCAATAGATCACCGCCAACTACGTTAAAGTTCCGCTTGCCTGGTTCTCAAATCCTTGACAGTCATTGAGCTGCGCACCGCCTATCTCAGCTGTATCCGTCTCAGTCAGCATCAGTAATTTTCCCTTTAGCTCAAGAGCTTGCAAAAGGCACCACACGAGGCCACAGAGAATCCACTGCTACATCTAGACTCCATGATTATCGATGATATTTTTTAGTTGGAGGTCGCCTCCAGTACTCTGCTCTCAGCTTTAATAAGCAATACCAACCGATTATTGATGGGTAATGTTTGCTCGTCATTTGTTAGGCTTATGCTCAGGCACTTTACGGGGGAGTCCGACTCACCAACACATGTGTTGCTCTCAAAGCTTGGATCATTGGCGACAATTTAAGCACTTGTTAAGGGAGTGTATTGTTTGTGCTTGCTTACAGGCATGGGCTTGCTACGCAATACATGGCGCCTTTACCAGCAATCTGGATCACTTCCATTCGTGCGTTTTCTTGCACCAACATTTATTATGCGGGCCTATTTAACATGTTATCGATCAAGAGCCAAAGAATCTACACTAGTGAGGGCTATATTGCAGTGTACGTGGGTATGCCTACGAAGGCCATGCATCTCAAGATGGTTAATGACTTTTCAACCGAGGCACTCCGAGGCAATTTCCATATCAGTAGCCCCTTGAACGTCATTGTTGATGCTAACTTGCCACTTAACAAACCAAATCATCTGGCCCACTAAAAGCTTGCCCACAGCATACGAGATAAATTTTTGGGTCATTTGAGTTGCGAAAACTGAAACACGATAAAGGTTGAATTTAAACACAAACCCTTAATATACTTGTATAAGATAGCTCATTATTCCTTGTAATGTTACTAAATTTATACTTTTATAGGGACATAATGCAAGAGAATTAATGAACGATCTCAGATTAGTAACAATGAGAAAATGTGTAACGAAAGTGGATTTCCCATATTCCTAATTTTTCACCATGCTTCCCTCGATATATATCGCACCACGCCTTTTCCCCTTCACGCCATACTATACCACATCACGCTACCACAGAACAGCACAATTTTAAATCATATTACATTTTGTTTCTTTTTTCTTAACCAATTCTTAAAAAAAAAGTTTAAAAACACCTTCTAACAGGATTTGAACCAGATTTATTCGTGACATAGTGATTTTTCGACTAAAAGACATTTGTTATATTTATTGGGGGGGAAGTTTAGAGAGGTGGAAAAAGTGCAAAGAGCGCAAATATGCAATGATGCCGGCAATCATATTTCTTGCATGGATATACTTACATACACCCTTTTATCCATATTTCACAGAAAAATCTATGTGTAATGTACGTCATTAAGGAACCTTCACTGGCAAGAAATATGACCCTATTAAAGAACTCAGTATTACAGGATGATTTTCTTAGCTTTTTTAACACAATTATATTTTGACACAATTATATTTAACACAAATATGGACTAGGAATAAGTCTACAAGCGTATGTGACAGATCTGAGCATGAAGTTAGAAATGTAATCAGCATAATCAGTAGGAAGTTGCTTTCAAATCTTCAGAAGATTCGATAAAAGCGTACAGTCTTGTACTGAGCAGCCTGGTAGCACGTCTTGCTATGACTTTATGGTGATATCTTACTAATACATGAAGCGAAGTTTGCGAAGACCGTTGTAATCGCTAATTACGAAAACTACTGAACCGATTTTGCTGGAATTTCGCATACTGATTTTTGATAACTCTGAGATGGCTTTCTAAGTCTAAAGTCTAAACAATGCTAAAAGTTGCAAGAAGTTAAATTGGAAGGAAAATTTTAAATGTATCTACACAAATACAATTTTAGGCGTCAAGAAAATGATGCTAAACATTTATAGAGGTTAAAGCAGCATCAAAATCGATAAATAAAGAATTTATAAAATGAGAGATAAGCTTGACACTATAACCCTTATAGTAATCTCTTGAATCTTCTAGACTTTTAAATGTATTTGTACTTTTATAGCGATAAAAAATGTAGAGTTTAAGCTCCAGGACTTTATTTCTATCGCAATAAAGTTGTGTGATCAGAGAAAAAAAATTTTTCTAGTTACACATTTTTTGTGGGTATCATATCTCTAAAGCTTTAAAAAATAGCTTTGGTTATAGATTATATGACACAAACTGCAAATCAACAGCCTTTTTGAGCCAACGATCATTTTATGGCAGAAAGAATGCACGGTACTTCTCAGCATAATTATACTTTTTTTACTTTTTATAGCTTTTCACTTGACCAAATAAACTGTATGGATTTCGAACAAATATGTTTTCAATGAGAAAATTTTTGTTATGAAAAGTGTCAGAAATAGATGTAAAATTTGTAACTAAAAGCTTTTCACATTATATGTAAACACACGACGATGCTTCGTTTTCTAAGTCTCGGGCACAGCCGAGGTGGGCCGCTAGTATAAGAATATATTAATAGTTACTTTACGATTACCACCACCACATGCTGAAAAATTTTTTAGTGTAAAAGTATTAAACCAAAAAAGTAGAAATAAATTTTCTATGAAAAATTACGGAAGAAGATAAGGACATTTTAAAATAACATTAAATCATTCAAAATTATTTGCGAAGTTTTTGTCAGATGTAAATGACGAATCTCTGATCGAGAAAATTTCG